TAGCCCACATGGAATTCCCCAGCTCCTGCCCATCATGCCTGTGGTTCCCAAACCCAGGACCCTGTGAGACCAGATGGGTGTCGCTCTGGACATGTTGACACCACGAGGAAATCCGATGGCTGTCACCATGGAGAGCTGGTAGAAGCTTTCCCAGGACCAAGAGGCAAAGACACATGACAGCAATAGAAGGAAAGGGGGTTGAAATAGCAGGGGAATCCCACCCCGGGGGATGGATTAGGAGCTGGATCATGGGGAAGCACAGCACAGCCTCCTCTGGCTGCTCTGCAGAGGCATGAGCTGGAACATCCCTGGAGAAGGCTGGAGCTTCCAGCAATCCCTTGTGGCAAAATAGGGGCAATCCCTTAAGGCAAAACAGGGGCAATCCCTTAAGGCATCCCCTGCTGGCTGCTGAGGAGCAGATCATCACTGATTTAAACTGCTCTGGAGTTCAGACCTCTGGAATGAGCTGCCTGTGGCTCTAGGAATGCTCAGTGTGTGATACAAACCCAGCTCCTGTGTGGAATCAGGGGATCCCACCATCCACCGCTGTTCCCAGCTAAGAGGATTATTGTTATCCTTCAAATTATTGGGGCTGGTGCTGTGGGGGACTGAGCCAATATTCCTGCAGTCAGTGGTAACTACTGCTCTGTCTCAGCTGAGATTGTTAAACAGGATTAAACACCAGTGGTCCAAGAGTGAGTGGCTGGCAACGACCCTTAATGGCTTTAATTACAGGATGAGAACTGCTATGGATGACACCAGTGCCAGGATCAATCCTGAGTGCTCCATCAGGGAATGGTGTTACCACAAATAAAGATCTCTGAAACAAGGTCTGGTTTTCTCTGCTGTGAGGATGCTGCTCAGTCCACTGGGTTATGATACAAGGGGGTTGAGCACAGAGATGGGAATTTATAATCAGTCATGGAATCACTGAATGGTTTGGGCTGGAAGGGACCTTAAAGACCATCTCATTCCACCCCCTGCCATAGGCAGGGACACCTTCCACTAGCCCACTCCAAACCCTGTCCAAGCTGGCCTTGGACACTTCCAGGGATCCAGGGGCAGCTACAGCTTCTCTGCCCAACCTGGGCCAGGGCCTCATCACCCTCTGAGTAAAGAATTTCTTCCTAACCTCTAATCTAAATCTCTCCTCTTAGTTTAAAATCATTCCCCTTTGTCCCATCACTATCTGCCTGTGTAAAAAAGTCACTCTCCCTCT